GAACTTCTCCTGCCCAAAGCTGCTTGTTTTGCATCAGGGGCAGCACAGTGGCTGGTGAGTGTGACAGGCAGCGAGCTATGGCCAGTGTGTGTGGGGAGGGACGCTGCTGCTGCTCCATGGCCTTGCCTTGGCCTCTGTGCTCGAGTGGCCAGATTTTCAAAAGAGCCCAGCATCTCCCACAGAGAACAGTGTGTGTGTGTGTGTGTGTGTGTGTGTGTGTGTGTGGCGGTGTCCTCTTTGTTCTCTATAGTGTCTGAAAGTCTCAGTTTTGCCAACCCCAATCATGCAATAATCCTGAGCCAGGCCCCCCAAAATCATGAGGTTGGCTTAAAATTGAGGAGATTTTTAAACAAGAAATGTGGGGGTCTTTTTATTTGCCTTCTGTTTTTTTTGTCAGCAAAGCCCCCATTTCTAGGCTTTTCTCCATGAGGGCTAGAACCTTCTACTTCGTTTTTAAATGAAAGCCGAGATTCTCATTTCTCCCCTGGCTCTTGAAGATTCCTGAAAAACACCAAAGATCACAACAGAGTGGATAAAAAATTGCAAGAGTTGGCAACACTCGTGGTGCCTAGATGGGAGCAGAATTTGTGAGAAAATCTGGCCTCAGATTTCCTAGAATTAAAGGGTGTCTGTGCAGCAATCTCATCTCCTGAGCACGTCACCTCACGTCATCACGATGAAAGAATTAACACCCCCCCCCCGACTTTGCATTTTATTTCGGATGTTGTTTATTTTTTCTCTTTGCCTGGCCAGCAGTGTCTGGGCTTCAAATCCAGGGTGGAGTGGAGGGGATACATTAAAATGCAAACTAATAACTGTTCCAGTTGTTATTTATTTTTTAAATCATGAAAACATTTGTATTAGTTTTTGAAATTTTTTAAATACAAAAGCTGTATTTTGTGCCTGCTGCACTGGACATTTATTTTCATTTGAACCTGAAAAGGGGACTAGTTATTACAGTTATTCTGATCCCTTAGAAGGATCCTTGTCTGTGGCATGTGGCTGGTTGGATACATTCCCGTCTAATGCCATATATATCAGAAAATACATATGGTTCTAAACATAATAACGTGGTATCTGTTCTCAGTAGGTGGCATCTGGTCGCTCGATACCTGATTTCTGCAACCCGGGCTGCTCTGTCCCATGCTGGCTGAGAGAATGGGGGGTCTGTGGGCGGGGCGTAGAACTGGATCACAGTTAGCAGTGGGCCTAAATCACAAAGTCCAGCTTCAGAGGTGGGACCTAATTGTGGACTGTTGGGAATTGTTGGGAGCTGCAGCTTTGGGACCAGATGCCCAGTTACACCCATTCACATCAGCTAAGCATCTGGCCCTCGGGTTTAGCTCTCCTCTCTCCTCTGTTAAAGGAGTGAGTGAGGAGCCCCTCTCTGTTCAGCAGCTGTGAGCAGATGCTCCTGTCCCTGTTGATCTGCCCAGAGACAGCCTCATTACTGCTTCCTGTCTCTCGACATTGTGTAAAATCGTGACCAGGAATAGGGGGCAAACCAGTCCCAAAGGAGCCAGAGGTGCCCCCATGCCGAAAACGGGGTCCCTCACAGCATCGGCGCTACCTGGCTTTTATTGTGGAAGCTGGCTGCTGTGGTTTGCAGTCTGCTCATGTTATGGCAGCAGCTGGGAAGAATGCCTCGAGCCAGGAAAAGAGACTCTGAAGAGGCAGAGGCCACTTGGAAAGAAATCAGGTCACTTCAGTTTGCAAGTCCTGGAGCCGGAAATATGGTTTGCCTGCCCTGAAGGTGCGGATTGCATTTCCTCCCTGAGCTCGGGGCACCCCCCAGGCCTGCCTGCAGAATGCACTCCAGCCTGGAGTCAGTGAATTAAAATACGTTTCAGGACTGACACTCCCCAAAACGGGCCGTCTCCACCCCACATTCCTGGGCAAGGGAAGGATGGACACTGTATTCTTTCATTTAAAAAGTAGCCAAAGCTCCATCCCGGGAGACACAAAGCCTTTGTGTAAAATAACAACATTGCATTCTCTCGCTCCGGGCAGCTTTGGGCGAAGGGCTGCGTCCAAGAGTCATTTTGTTAAAGATTTGTGCACAGGTTGTGTTAGATTCTTGCCTTATGGAGGCAAACCAGTGCTGATAAGAGTGCGAATGAAACAAGCTTACTTGTCTCGAAGCGGTGTGGGGGTGGCCGTAATACAGCTTGGTGCTTGCTTTGCACAGTGGCTGGCTCCTTCCCTCTCCTGTACCGTGTGGGTCTCTGTTTCCTTGGTGCAATGCAACTTGCCATGTCCTCCGTGCCTTTGCACCTTGTAGCGCCTTTCGTCTGAGGAGCTCCCAGGACTGTATCCTGAGTGTTCACTGAGCACTGATAGCACGCTTGGTCAGACACAGTACAGAAGAGACACACCTCTGCAGACTGCAGGTAGAATGCAGCCGCTGGGTATTCTTATTGAGCCTGTCTATCTTGGAGGCCTTATCAGCATTGCTATCAATGGTAGTTAAGTCTTGCAGCCCCCTTGTGAGGGAGAGAAGGAAGAGCAGTATTCTTACATACTATGTATGGTACAGGTGGGGAAACTGAGGCACATAGCACATAAGTGACTTATCACCTTCCATGTGGCTTGTGAAGTTACCCCACCAGTGTTGGGAACACAGCACAGGTGCCTTAGCTGGAGTGGAATGAGCTGTTTGCAGTTAACATTTCTCTTATCAGCTTTAGCTCTTTCCTGTTTGGTGACTGCCTACAAGCAGATCACAACTTCCACACATGTATCGGCAGGTTGGAAAATACCCCCTGGGTGGTTCAGCTGAACATGCTTCAGTCAACAGGCAGGCTGGACAGCTGCGAAAAGTTCAGTAGTCCCTGCTTGAAACTGGAGCTCTTTTGACAGGCTGTACAAGTTATATAAGTGTCTGTTCCCTGACTGGGTGAGCAAAAGGCAGAGGTGAATTCTGGCGATTACGCATTCTAAATTCGCTTGGTGCAAGTATCTTGCTGTGTCCCCGCAGCGTCACTGCCTGTCCTGCCAGCACTCACTGTGAACAGAGGGTGAAATTCACCCCTGTGCAGACAGCTGACACAGTCTTGGCCCCCCTGAGCACTCAAAGGGGTTCTTGTGGGATTTAGGGGGCACGCAGGCCCAGAAGAGCGAACGCAAAATGGGGGCACTAGATGGACCCGGGGTCTAATCCAGCCTGTTTTATGTGTGCCTATGTAGTGATAACAGACATGTCTATAGCGACGTGCCACCAGGCATGCTGGGATAGACTGCACACACCAAATGAGAGAGCCCCTGCCGAAAATGACCAGGGGCTTTCCTGTCTGCATCAAACTCCAGAGCTCGGGGGTATTTCTGCCTCTCCCCTGACTCTGTCAATCTCCATGCGGAGACATAAAAGATGGGTTTTTTTAATTAATTGGCACCGATTGTGTTCCATGGAAACGCTGTTCAGGAGAGGCAGGAGTACCAAGAAGCCATGGGGACCAAGCTGGCTAAATGCTGCTTCTCTCCACATACGCTCTCAGAAAACAAGGTACAAATCTCGCACCTGACCTGTTTTAACCCAGCGTAACACTGGTCAAATGTTTCATTAGATAGTTGCTGAACAGAAATTATTCCCAGCAAAACTTTGCCCTGCCATCACAGAGTGCTTCAGCTTATCAAGTGTCCAACTAATCCAACTGTGCATAATGTAGTGAGGGCACTGAACAGCGCATCCTGCTGGCAGATGGCCTCTTGCCATACTGTGCTGCATGAGGTGGAGTTGGGTTAGATTCCAGGGTGCAGCTAGCTGATGTATTTCTTTAAAGGGAGGCCATGCCAAACTAACTCCTTATGCTAAGATGTTGCTGTGTCTCTTTCAGTGACAAGACCACTCTTGTTTCCCCAACTCTGCTGTGCTGAACACCTGCCCTTTACTCTTTGCTGTTTGCACTCTGGGGCAGCTTCTAATTCCTTGAAGAAGTAACTCATCTGACTGAACCAGAACCACCCAGCTTGAAATGGTCCAAAGCCCTGACGGCTGGACCAGCCTGCCTTTCTGTGCTGGTAACATGCTGTCTGACTTTTGAGAACTGCATTTCGCTTCTCCATTCAAATTGCTCTACATTCCCCTCTTCCAGCTGGTAAATGTAAAATGCTTTCTGGTCCAGCAGTTTGTTTTCCATCTTGGCACTGCAGAACAGCCCACAAACACACATGCAGACCCATATCTCTCCAGCGCACTGGCTGTAGAGTGTGGACCATGACCCAACATAGCTGGAAAACTCAAAACCATATATAAATATATGTGTGTAGTGATAGGTGAGTCTGCATAGATGGAGCTAAGGTGTGCATTTCTATCTATTGGTGTACGTACAGGCATGCACCTTGGCTCCAGCTATGCTCTTTCACCCAATGCTACTGCGCGGGGCGGGGGAATTCTCTGTTAACAGCCTTGTACATTTTGTGTACAGTCCAATCAATACAGTATTTAAGGGAAATTGACCGACTGCTCGGCTTTGCTGGGGATCACGGCACATGAGGAAAGCCCTTTTGGGAGCTGCCTCTGCTGCTGAACTGCCTTATTCTGCTCCAACACATGCTTCTTGTGCATTGTTGCGGGAGCATGGTGAGATGTGGGAAGCTCACTGAGGCCCTCACCAAATCTGACATTGATTCATACATGGGCTTTTGCAGCTGACAATGTGAATTCAACCTGTCACCGATTACAGGAGCCAGGAGTGCGCTTGATCACACTACTGTCACAATGCATTAATGGGCCATGGACTGGCATTGACAGGAAGGGCTTGAGGAATGAGCCGGGGGAAAGGGGGTATGTCAGAGAGCAGAGGGAACTCTGATGCCGGCTTCTCCTCAGAGACACCGGACAGGGTGGGGGGAGCTCATTCATTTCAAAAGCATCCAAGACCTCATCCATTGACAACTTTGCATCCAAGTCCAACCTTCCTTCTGCATTGTGTGTTGCCAGGTCCCTAGCCTGTGAGCAGATCTGAGAGGTTTTAATGGCTGTGTTTTCAACTGTGTTTCAGGTAGGCGATCAGATGAAACTGCTGCAGAACTGCTGGAGCGAGCTGCTGGTATTTGACCATATCTACAGGCAGGTGCAACATGGGAAGGAGCACAGTATGCTGCTTGTGACAGGCCAGGAGGTAATGTCATCTCCTTTGATGGGAAAAGCCTTCCAGTGTTTCAGCAGACTGTACCTTTCCCCTGCAATTCCTGCATTGCTAAGTCGAACAATGGCATGAAAGGGTCGGGACAGCAGAGCTAATAGTGAGCCTGCATTATTGTTGCAGATGGATTGATGGACACAAAGAGTGAAGCATCAGAGGGGAGCAGGCCCTGTGCCTTTGTCCATGTGTTGGGATACTAACCGGAGCTGGGCGATATGGGGGCCAGTTCCTTCCCGATTTGTAACTGTGCTGCTGCCCCAGTCTGTCCTTCTGTTCACTTCAGGATCTGCAAATCTGCCATATTTCTGCAAAGGAAAATCTTCCCTCTCTCACCATTTATTCCCAAATGGGACTGATGAAAAGTCACTTTTCTTTGCCATTTTTGTTTTCACCCAGTTGAAATCAGAAATTCCACTGCTTCCTCGCTGGGTCAGAACCAATGCTTTTAATCCAAAAGGAAAGCACATGAAAGGCACCATGTGCCTGCTGGTTAATCTGGTTAATCTGTTGTTATTAAGTGTGTTTCATTGCCCTAGTTGTGGTTCTGGTGGCATCTCTCTAGGATCAGAATTTTGGGTGAGCCTTGGGCCAGTTCAGGGGGCTGCGGGGCAACATTTAAAGTGGGGGAGCCATTGACTCCTCCCCTGCTCTGAAATTCCCCCTCCCCCAAGCAATCTAACCCCCCGGCCCATCAGCCCATGCAGTCACCCCCTCCAAATTTTAGTGAGTGGACTTGTGAAATGGTGCACAGGGTCACACTCAGGTTTGGCCTGGCCAAAAAGTAGTTGGGCCGTGGCCCGCCTGGCTCTGCAGTCTATGGGCTAACTGGTTTTGTATGGCAGCCATTGGAAACTCAGCGGTTTTGCAGGGCTGTAGTGTGAAGTCAGGCCAGCCTGGGCAGTTTTGGTTGCTTAGCTTTAAATGTTGGGGCTGGTGTGAACTTCAGACTCCAGGAAGGGAGCCCATGGGAACCAAAATCCATCTCCGTAGTTTCAGACAATCTCAGCTACACGGAGCCCAAACTGGGAAGAAAAAATGGGTGACTTTTGTCTTACTTCTTTCCCTCTAATGAAGGCCCTCCTGTCTTGTCCCTCCTCCTGCGTGAACTGAGGCTGACCCAAGCAGATGCCTGGTGTTTTGTTTTTGCTGGGTTCCGGAATTGTTTTTGCACAAGGGGAGAAATAATGATCTGTAGATAGACCCAAGCCATCCCCGGAGCGCAGGCGGCCGGCATGTACTGCCTTCCAGCCAGGGGAGAATTCTTGGGTTTGGAGCAAAATGTTTCTCATAAGAAAAATCAACAGTCATGTCTGTATTTACAGAAATTGGTGTGAGAACAGACCAGCTCTGTTTGAATAGTAGATTTTGCAGGGAACATGGGAACAAAGTCTCCCCAGAATTGCAGCCTGATCTTCCAGCTATTCCCAGGACAGCATTGCTGTTGTGCAGTGAGAGCTTCCTCTTTAAACACAAATTAGAACAAATAATAACCCAGAAGATTGCTATTTTCTCTTGTGTGTCTCCAAGTTACCCCTGTTTATTCTCTGAAGTGAGATTCACCCTGTCCAGAGGACCTGTGCAGCACCATTTGTGATGCCGTGGGACTTAAGTAGTCTCTTGGGTTTATACTGGCTACCCAGGGATGAATTTCACCCTGACTCCACAGTTTTGCTGCCTCTGTCCTGTAATGCTTTAGCCACAAGCCAGAACTGGCTGCTGCTCCCTGCCCTCCTGGGAATCAGGGACATCCATCCCCTGAGAGCCATTGAACCAAACTGTAAACCCTGTATGTGATGAAAACCGCTCCAAGCCAGTGGGTGGGGCAGCTCCCCCCGCACCCCTAGTTCCAGCACCTACGGTCTGTGCATGCAGCCAAGCTGCCCTGTAGCTATAGTTTGGCTAGCTGAAAACCCTGCCAAGGAGTAGTTTGTTCCCTTCCCTCCACTGCCATTTCCTTGTGATAATCCAGCCAGAGAGCTGGAATAATTCTAAATCCCACTCAGCCAGTCTTACGGCGGTGGGGGACACTGTGAGGACACCTGTCCTGCCAGTACCATTATTGTTTCAGTCACTTCGGGTGTATTCACCCTTAGGGTGTAGAGGGCTAGTACAAGACCTAGGCACTACCAAAGTCCTACCTTGTGCTGGCTCCTCCGCTGGGGGGTGAATCTCACGAGAGGAGTCTTTTCAAGTCCACCTCCAGACCCACTGCGGTGTTGGCTATTTGCTGTCCCTAGGGCAAGGAGCGTGGCGGGGGGTTTAAAACGAGCAGCTCGTGCCCTCTCCACAGGCAGGGCGTAGCTAAGAGACACGGTGGGGTCTCGACCCTGCTCAGTGCCTTGCAGTGTGGTTCGCACCGCTCCTCAGGCCCTTGCAGGGTGTGATGCTCCAGGCTGCTGAGCCCAGCTTCCTTCTTTGCTTTCAGGTGGAGATGGCGACAATCGCGGCTCAAGCGGGATCCAACCTGAATAACCTGGTCTTGAGGGCACAAGAACTGGTCCTACACTTGCATGCGCTCCAGGTGGATAGACAAGAGTTTGTGTGTTTGAAGTTCCTGATACTCTTCAGTCTCGGTAAGTGCCCAGAAGGGACTGAGTTCTGCAGCGTGCCGCTGGGGAGACGCTGGAACGCAAAGCTAGCAAAGGGAAAGGCGGAGCAGCTGCTCTCTCGCATTGTGCCCGGTTGGTGGAAGCATGGAGAGCTGTTATTAGTGACAGGTTTCAGAGTAGCAGCCGTGTTAGTCTGTATCTGCAAAAAGAAAAGGAGGACTTGCGGCACCTTAGAGACTAACCCATTTATTTGAGCATGAGCTTTCGTGAGCTACGGCTCACTTCATCGGATGCATACTGTGGAAAGTTGTACTGAAGTGAGCCGTAGCTCACGAAAGCTCATGCTCAAATAAATGGGTTAGTCTCTAAGGTGCCGCAAGTCCTCCTTTTCTTTTTGTTATTAGTGACTGTTCTTATTTACTTGTGGCCCAGGAGCACCGAGAGACCCCTGCCATGACCGAGGGCGCATGGTGCCAAGCACTCTGTGAAGAGATAGTAAAAGCCAGTCCCCTGCCCCAAAGAGACAATGAAGAGGGGGAGAAAGGGAGTATGGTTCTCTCCATTTCACAGGGGGAGTGAGGCACAAAGAGGCTGCATGACTAGTATCCTGTAGCTTGTATCCAGACAGAATGTGACTTGTTTTTAAGTTCACTGCACCTCCTCACGGTGTGTCCCGTGGAAGCCTTTCATCCTCCTGGTAACCCCTCCAGAGATAAGGAGTTTGCACCACAGACACATTGGTGCCTCCTTGTTGAAAATCCTCCCTGAACACCTCTCTGCTGTCTGATGGCCAGCGATCTCTCACTGTGGTGAGAAGGGGGTCAAGCTGCAAATCACCAGGTGCTAAGTAACAGTTCTCTGCAGTGCGAAGGGGTAGCAGAGATTCGGGGGAGTGACAGAGAGATGCACACAGGAGCAAGGCAGTCAGCAGGATATGGGATCTAATCTTCCCCTGGCAGAGGATCTCAGCTTGGCGAAACACAGCCTCCAGGGTATGTCCGCCCAGCACTGGGAGCATGTGTCTCAGTGCAGGGAGACAGACATGGGCTAGCTGTCTTTGTTAAAAATCATAGCACAGTGGCACGGGCACTGGCGTGGGCTAGCTGACTGACTACAAGCCCGCCGATCCCCTGCATACATAATTGGGTGGCCAGCCCAAGCCACTGCCCTTGCCACCTTGACCACACTCGCGCCCCTCTGTCACCCTGCACTGGGAAGCGCCCTCCCAGCTGCTGTGGGGATGCCTTGGTGGGCTAGAGGGTCCCTACGCTGCTCATGGGGCAGAGGAATGCTCAGGCACCATGAGCCAGGAGAAACATACAGACAGGGCCTGCTGCTCCTGTCAGGGCAGAATAGCTAGAGATCAGAAGCCTGGTTTCTAGAGACATGAGGCCCCTCTGCTCCTGCTGATGTGTGTCCTGGGATTCAGAGCTGCTTTGGGGTGAGCTGCTCTGAGCAATCCCCTGGCTCCTGCTCGCTTCTGCCTGCTCAGTGCAAGGCGCTGTTCAGAAATGTTTAAGTCCTGCTGGCTGGCTGAGACCAGCTCTCCCCTGCGTCGCCCCACGAGGGCTAAGATCTGCCAGGGTCTCCGCTGGGAGTTCCTGGAACAGCAGGTGCTGGAGCATTTTGGACAGAGGGCACTTGGCCTGTGTGGCCTGCCAGAGCCAGGGCTGTGCTGCCTTCAGGGCACTGTATAAAGTGTCACTCAGGGTGTTAACCGACCACCACTGTGGCAGGGCAAGAGGCACTCAGAGGTGGATAAGTGTGCGGCAGCCGGAGGTGATGGGCATTGGGCACTGAAGACATGGAATGAAATGAGCACATGGGTGAAGCAGAGTTTGCATCGAGGGAGGGGGGTGCCATGCTGGAAATCAAGAGAAGAGCCTTTATTTGAGGGGATCCTTAATAGCAGCCAGAGGTTTGCAGTGGATGGGCCTTCCCTGGGGTGCTGTATACCATGAGGGCTTCTGCTCATGGCTCTAGCTTTCTCTGCGCAAAGAGCCACTGGCTTTCCCGGGGGCCTGGGCCCCAGAGGGGAGGCATAGGGCCAAAGGGTTCCAGAGGGCCAATGCTTCTTCCTGTTCAGTACTGCAGGCTGCTCCATAGATGATGGCTTTCTGGGGCGGTAAAGACCAGAGGTAGCAGCACAGATGAGAGGTCTTGGCGTGTCCCCCTGCCCCTAAGGTTTGCTAGATGTCTAGGAACCTGCCGGGCGCAGCTGGACAGTGGGCACGTCCCCGCTGCGTTCTCTGAGTCGCCGAGCCCAATTCAAAGCTTCTCTGATGTGGTGGAAACTAAAGGGAAGCTCTCACCAGCCCTGGTCAGAGCCGCACACAAAAATCACTGTAACCTGTCATTATCTGTAAGTCTGTGGGAGGGGAGCGTGGTGATTACAATGTAGAGTCTAAAGGGAGCGCCAGAGACAAACATGCTGAAAATAAACCTGCTGAGCCCGCAACAGCCAAAGCGCTAAAAGTTAATTAGGCAAAAACCTTTGTAAAATAGCTTGTAATTTTATCAAGAACAAGGAGGGGCACAAATCAAATGACGACTCCTCGCCTTTGCCCCCCAAATCCCTCTCTGGGGATGCAGCACCTCTGCCTGAGACCCCGGGCTGTTTGCAACCGCGCGAGTTCCCAGAGGCTCGTCCCACTGTGGTATTTTCCAGGGGCTAGTGTTGTAGCAGGGCATCACGCTCCCAGGGGAGGAGTGGCCACGCACAGCCTGGGCTGAACAGCGGCTGGTTAGATTGCTGCAGCAGCAAGAAATTGCACAGGCTCGGGGGCTGTAATGTGAGCGTATTAGGGCTTCGGGACAGTCTCTGGCCAGTGCTCTGTGCCCCTCTCAGCACCTGGCATCCCTCCTCATTCTGTGCGTATTTATTTGTGTTGCGGTAGCGTCTCGACACCCAGCCAGGGCTCAGGCCTCCATCCTGCTAGGAGCTGTATACAGGCATATAATACAAAGATGGCCCTGGCCGTATAAAATGAAAGACAGCAGGTGGATGCAGCTTAGCAGTGAAGGCAGGCACCCGGTGACAGCCCGCTGGGTCTGAGCTGTGTGACGAGCAGCAGTCACCATGCACCAGCTGCTGAGCGAGTGTTGGGATCGCAGCAGAGGTGAGCTGCGAGGAGAGAACTGAATGAGGACAATGAGAGCTGGCTTTGCAGGCTGAAGTTATTCACAGCTCTCCTGCCCCGTCGGGGACCTCATCCTGAGAACGTGTAGGCATGAGACTAACTTTGCTCATGGACACAATCCCATAGATATCTGTGGGGCTATTCACAGGAGAAACGAATATTCACCAGCAGAAATGTTTGCAGGATTGGATCCATGTACAGCAAAGCCGCTGCATGAATGACACTGGGCCATGCGACAGCTACAGTTGGTTATTTTTAATGTGGCAGGTGGTACGAATACATTCCATGGGGCGAACCCTTCAGAGAGCGCTTGGGTGAGAAGGGGGAGCATTAGACAATGTTATTTCAATAGGGCCTGTCGTGGTTCAGAGCCCCATCATGGGAGGCGCTGGACAGACACGTAACAGAAAGCTTAACAGTCTAGATGACCAGATAATATACTGACATCCCTCTGCCTCCCTTGGCTTGCAGCTCAACAGAGAAATTTTTAAAGCAAAAATATTTTTATTTTCATCAGAGTGTTTCCCAGAACGTCCTTTTCTCCCCCTGAGCCCCAGAAAACAGTCGTCCTGGCGAAAGGAAAGTGGTGGGTAAGATCCCACCTTGGTCAGCATGCAGGGGCCAGTGCAGGCTCGTTCCCCATCCGGCATTAAATAGGGCCTGTTTTGGGCAGTGAAACAAACGGGCTGATAGGGCCTTTACAAAACAGCCGTGTTGACAGAGCCTGGCGCAGGGACTGGCCCTATCTCGCTGGATTGGCGTCAGAGGAATGCAGGGCAGGGAAGTGCAGACTTCTCATGATAGAGCCACCGTCTCAGAGTCTGTGGTAAAAGTAACTCAGGCTGATTCACATAGTTACTTCTCACCTAGACACAATATCCCCAGCAGCCACTGGCTGGGAGAGCTGGCCCTCCTGCTTGGCCCCGCACATTTCTGGGGGCCTTGCCACAGCCTTTGCCAGCCCCTTTCGCTTGTGCATTGGCCTCCCGTCTCGAAACCCCACCCCTTGCCACAGTTACCATAGCAACACGCAGCTACAGGACCGAGAGCCTGCTGCAGGTGCAGGCTGCTACTGACCCCGCAGGCGTCTAATGCTCGCCTGGCTATGGTCCCGTGCCCAGGCAGAGCGCCTGCCGGGGCTGCCTTGCCCCCCTGGCATGTGCACGGCAGGGGCCAGCGGCGTTTCTCTGTCACTCGCCTTGGTGAGTGAGAGGGGTGGGTGGGCGGCTCTGGGGACTGACAGCCTCTGTTCAGCCACAGAACAGGGACAGCCTGGGCATCCGCAGGGCACGCATCCTCCAGTGTGCCCACCCTGGCCTGGAGACCCTGCCTGGGGGAAGTGCCCGGGGCACTGCCAAGCCTTCACACAGCTCTGTCAGAGCCAGAATCACCCCTGTGGGTTTGAGGCATCTCATCAGCACCTTTCCCTCCTCCCCAGGCCTTACCCCCATGGCCTCCATCCCTGTGGTCTCCTCCTCTCCCACTTCCCTCTCTCCTCCCTGCCCTTCCTGGTGACAAACAAAAGTCCCAAGGAAATTAAGTCCTGTTTGCAAAGGTGGGTGCTGCACTTGCTGTGGGGTTGAGCTGGCTTTGTCTGACCATGGCCCACCTGGCTGACTGTTTGCCTGCCTATAATTGTCACTCTGTTCCTAGGGTAGGTGCGGATAATAAGGGATGTCTCCTCTGGCTAGTTTAGCACGTTGCACCCTCGCCAAAGGATGCCAACGTTCCTTAGCTCTGAGTAACACCTTCCATTCTCACCCGGCCTGCGGGAAGGCAGATAAGTATCCTTACCCCCGTGTTATGGACAGAGGAAGTGACTTGTTCAGGCTTACAGTTGGCTGCAGAGCTCTCAGATCTCACCTCAGCCCAGTAGATCACGTT